CAATAGAGAGAGAGATAGATAGATAGAAAGAGAATAATTTCGCATTCGCCACCTCTCCGTCTCATGAAAAACCACCCACGTTCTAGGAAGGAAGAGAAGCGTGACTTTGAGGAGTGAGAGATAGTGCTTGCAAATTCATGTTTTTTGTACTATTATGCATTCGTAAAATGTAGTGGAAAAATCGTGGGACTACTTCGAATTCAATTAAGTGATAAGCACCAACCGAAATAGTTAAAAAATAAAATGAATTTCTAATCTTTTTGCCGAAGGAAATTAGCTAAATCATCCTGGCGTATAGTTTCCACAAAGCTACAGAAATTTCCTCCCCCAATGGTAATCTAGACTTCAGACTAGAAGATATTGAATGGAGATGAAAGACGTTGAGCCATTGCACGTACGACTAGATGAAGAGATCTAGTTTGATACAGAATGACTCATTAAAAAAATAATCGAGCCTGAATGAACCATGCTTACCAGCGTGATCATGACTGGAATAGTCGAATACACGATATTGGTGTTAGGTAAGGATGGATTAGTAGATGTAGATCGTTTAAGCAGAGAAGGGCTGGATCAACCACACATCCACACAAACTAATAATGATAGCATAAAGGGTAAATAAGAAAGTTGACTATTTCTAACGAGATCTGTGAGATCATAGAGATTCACCATTTCGCTGTTGCTTTGAATCAGATGTTCTGAAATAACCCTGCCTGACCTGCATGATGAACTGCCACTATGGAGAAGAGTATCAACGTCCTGAAATATTATTATTATTATTTCAAATGGCAAACTTTATGATATTTATCATCCATCCATAAACTTTGACTTCAGCTTTCCCATGGATGGGGAGGGGTACATATATAGCAGTTAATCAATAGCAGTTTATTAGCTGTCTTCTTGCTTCCCACTATCTCTGGGTTTCCGTCGTTGTCTTTAGGGCTGGACACCGAATCAGGTGGATCTTCTCCATTTCCTCCTGTTGGTCACACAGGGGGCATGATCTTCTCCATTTCCTCCTCTACGTTACATAGAGGGCATGTGGGTTGAGTGTATACTCCCTGGTCACACAGGGGGCATGTTGGTCGATTGTGTAATTCCAATCTGTGGAGGTGTTTTGTCAGGCAATCGTGTCCGGTACGTAGTCTAAACTAGGCGACGGCTACGATTCTTGGCAAGTCGGCTATGTCGGAGAGTGCCACTGTCCACTGTTTCTCCTTTGTTGTTTAAGTTCGTTGCACCTTGAGATCTTGAATTCTCTTCTGATCGGGAGAGTGCCACTGTCCACTGTTTCTCATTTGCTATATCGAAGAGTGCCACTGTCCACTGTTTCTGATTCTTGGCTAGTCGGCTATGTCGGAGAGTGCCACTGTCCACTGTTTCTCTTTTGTTGTTTAAGTTCGTTGCACCTTGAGATCTTGAATTCTCTTCTGATCGGGAGAGTGCCACTGTCCACTGTTTCTCATTTGTTCGAGCTCAAGTTCGTTGCACCTTGAGGTCTTGAACTCTCTTCTGATTAGTCCATTGCACCTCGAGGTCTTGAATTCACTCCTGATTAAGGCCTTCTTTGTGTGGAAAGAGGGATGGTGACATTATCTCCACCTAGTCCCATTCGGTTTCTAAAATCAAATTCAACTGGTAATTAATGATTGTGTAAATAAAGTCAAGTTTTGAAAGAGTTTAAAGCATTATACACTCTTCAACAAATGTAGGATTCATTGCTCTGCATTTAAAAGTATAATATTTCATGAATTTGTTATCTGTCTTCCTGCATAGCAGCACAAATCATTATAGATAATTTTTCAGTATTTGTAATAATGGGAAACATATATTTTTTAAAAAATGCATATGTTTACATATTGTTGTAATGTCATTGGGATCTACTTCTAGTTAACGTAATGTGCTCGGTATTTATTAGAATTGTAATTAGGGAAACCAATCAGCGATGAAATAAAGAAAATTCATACCACAATATATTCCAATATGCTGGTCTACAAGTTGTTTGGACATATTTTCAGTTCCAAACAAGGTGACCTAGCTTGGTGAAAAGAGTCCAAGTATCGAGTTTTATTATTAAATAAATAATAACAAGCTTATTTGAGTCAAAATAAAACATCTTTCAGAGCAAATTAATGATTGGATTGAATTTCCATTCAATTAAACAAAATGTTTTTTCGGGTGGCCAAAAAACATCTGCTCTCATGGTGATATTTCAATGAGTAATAGCTTTGCGAATAATTAATTTACGTCTAACTTTTTTCATTAACTAATTTTATAAATCAAAAAGTATTTCTCTTCTATTTAAAAATCTTAAAATGTTAAACTTTAACTGAATTAAGTAA